GAATGCTTTCAATAGACTTAAATTTGAAAGGCCCTTTGTATCACTTCGTGCAAAATGACATAGGGCACTTCTAATAAATTTATACGAGAAGTAAAACCCTGTTCATCATTGTTTTCGTGTTGCAAAGTTGTTTACAGACTGAAAAAGGGATAGTACGGGACTGTAGAGAGTGAATAAAACTAGGAAATTATAATTGCAAATGTAAAACAACGTTGTAAACCTAGCAATAAGAGGCTCTTGAATGCAGTTTTTAAATGGACATGGCTTTGGGGCTACCCGCTACCGCCGCCAGGCTACGCTGTCGATTGCCAGCTAGCTGTCGATTGCCAGCTAGCTGTCGATTGCCAGCTAGCTGTCGATTGCCAGCTAGCTGTCGATTGCCAGCTAGCTGTCGATTGCCAGCTAGCTGTCGATTGCCAGCTAGCTGTCGATTGCCAGCTAGCTGTCGATTGCCAGCTAGCTGTCGATTGCCAGCTAGCTGTCGATTGCCAGCTAGCTGTCGATTGCCAGCTAGCTGTCGATTGCCAGCTAGCTGTCGATTGCCAGCTAGCTGTCGATTGCCAGCTAGCTGTCGATTGCCAGCTAGCTGTCGATTGCCAGCTAGCTGTCGATGCAGCTAGCTGTCGATTGCCAGCTAGCTGTCTAGATGGGACCCCCCTGGCGATTAATGTGGGGGGGGGTGATTTTTCAAATTTTCGAGGGCCAAACAAAAAAATAGTGCTCTCTACCCCCCCCCCCCCCCCCTCTTTTTTTATTTCAGCACATTAAATTTCAAATTGATTTCAAGTTTGGGCCCCCTAAGAAATCCTGAATCCGCGCCGATACCCATCCCCCCCCTAAAATAAAAATCCCAAGGCTCCCCTGTAGTTTTTTTCTACATTGCTCCCCCCCCCCCGCAAAAGGTCCCTATTTTCTCATTGTTTTACATCAACAACAACAACAACAATAATATTTATTATAAAACTCCAAAATTGGTTTGTTTTTATAAATAATAATATCTGCCCGGCAAAATATTTGAAGTAAGTATGTAGATTAAGATCATCAGACTTTATTACACTGATGAGGTGTATTGGGTTCTCTTCACTTGTCTCTTTCTGGCTCTCTTTCTCTTTCTCTCTCTCTCTCTCTCTCTCTCATTGGGACTGAAAAAGTATTGAATGTAATAATGTTTGATACATAGATAAAACAGGATTCCTGCCCTTCTTGTACTTCGTAAATATAATACTTTACCTTGCTTACAAGTTAATTGCAAGCTCATTGTATAGATCAATTAAGAGAATAGCAATAAATATGGACTTTGAGTGAGATCAAAATGGGTTTGACATCAGTTTTTCTTTTTCAAAGATTAAAAAAAAGCAACAGCTGGGTGTCGAACCCGATACCTTCCAGTTACCAGGCGATTGCCTACCCACTAGACTAAAGTGTCACATTGCTAATCTCCATGTTTTTTTTCTTCATACTTATACTTATTGTTGTAGATGTAGCAAAAGAAAAAAACGCAACAGCTGGGGGTCGAACCCGATACCTTCCAGTTACCAGGCGATTGCCTACCCACTAGACTAAAGTGTCACATTGCTAATCTCCATGTTTTTTTTTCATACTTATACTTATTGTTGTAGATGTAGCAAAAGAAAAAAACGCAACAGCTGGGGGTCGAACCCGATACCTTCCAGTTATCAGACGATTGCCTACCCACTAGACTAAAGTGTCACATTGCTAATCTTCATGTATTCTTCATACTTATACTAATTGTTGTAGATGTAGCAAAAGATGTTTTCTGACTAATTCAGAGAGTCGCTTGTTAAAGAAAGAGTATTACATGCTATTTTTTCTTTGTTGAGGGGGGGGGGTGTCCCCTTTAAAAAAGAGATGACAAGTCAATATTATGGAGTGAAGAAAAAAAATAACATGGGTTTATATAAAGGAGAAACTGAGACTCGAACCGAGTACATTGCATTGTGAAGTGATCACTTTTATCCACAAGACCATTTTGCCTCACCGTGATAACTGGTTCGCTTTTTGTTGTTAACACTTTCTGCATGCTAATGACTTTACAAAATGTGCCGATTTACTGATTTGACGCTTTCGGGATGCATTATTATCATCATTTTTGTAGTCCGATGTTGTGAAGATTGCCCGTATTTTTTTTCTTTCAGTTACTGATATTACTGATATAATAGTGAGGTTTTATGTTTATTTCATTTAATTTGCAAACTGCTGACTTAAACTTAAAGTGATATGACAAGAGGCCACTGCCCTCACATAGTATAATGAATAGAACACGGGTCTATTCAATTCAGTATATGCTACGAATTCTATAACAGGGCACCAATGAATAGGGAAGCTTGGCTATTCGATTCTGTTTTCAATAGCTTGCACCTGCAATTTTTGAATAGTTACGTAACAAACTACTCAGCTCTTTCTGACATGGCATCAATAATATTAGTGAATTGAAAACAAACCTGACCCTCCCTTCATTGAGTGACTTTTGTTTGGTCAAATGCGAGGATTACCAAAGAGGAGGTAATAATAGCATTCCTGACATTGCAACAATGACCGCGTTATTTTGATGCATTGTCCCTAAACCTACCGAAGAGGCTCTTTGTCCTTGTATGGGAGGACAAGCACTTTAGACTGGGGCTGTAGTCTGATTTCAAGAAAGGAAAACAATTTCGGGACAGTTCAAAATAATGCTTGGAAATGGAAATTCAAATGATACCGTTTTAAAAACCAGAAAGATATGGTTTGAGGACAAGAAGCAGGATGTAATTCATTGCTCGGCAATCTTGACTGTATTTAAAACAGAGCATCCAATATACCTGATATTTAATAGTACCCCAGCTAACACAAAAACATTATAAGAACATCCTGATAATGTTTGGCTAAACGTTTGGGAAATGTTTTGTTCAAATGTTAAAATCATATGAAAATGTATGGTCTTGTGATTATCAAGAAAACATATTTATAACATTAAACACCAACATCAAAAAAACATTTTTAAAATGTTTGTTTAACATTAAGCTTAAACATTATAACAATATCAATTTGATATTATCAAAAATGTTGATATAACATATTAATGATATTTTTCAAACATTTAAAGAAAATGTTATAAAAATGTGAGCCATCTATTTCTAAGACCATACATTTTGATATCATTTTAACATTTCATAGAAACATTACAATATTGTTATTCTTAAATGTTTTTAATATGTTATTTAAGAAATGTTAATTAAATGTTATAATGATATCTTATACATGTTTGAAGGAAATGTTTTTAAAATGTGAGTCATCTATTTCTAAGACCATACATTTTGATATCATTTTAACATTTAATAGAAACATTTGAATGATAAAATCCCAAAATGTTTTTAAAATATTAACTTAGAAATGTTAATTAAATGTTGTAATGATATCTTATTAATGTTTGAAGGAAATGTTTTTAAAATGTGAGCCATCTATTTCTAAGACCATACATTTTGATATCATTTAAACATTTAATAGAAACATTTTAATGATAAAATCCCAAAATGTTTTTAAAATATTAACTTAGAAATGTTAATTAAATGTTGTAATGATATCTTATCAATGTTTGGAGAAAATGTTTTTAAAATGTGAGCCATCATTTCTAAGACCATACATTTTGATATCATTTAAACATTTAATAGAAACATTTGAATGATGATATCCCAAAATGTTTTTAAAATATTAACTTAGAAATGTTAATTAAATGTTGTAATGATATCTTATAAATGTTTGAAGGAAATGTTTTTAAAATGTGAGCCATCATTTCTAAGACCATACATTTTGATATCATTATAACATTTCAAAGAAACATTACAATATTGTTATTCTTAAATGTTTTTAATATGTTATTTTAGAAATGTTAATTAAATGTTGTAATGATATCTTATTAATGTTTGAAGTAAATGTTTTTAAAATGTGAGCCATCTTTTTCTAAGACCATACATTTTGATATCATTATAACATTTCAAAGAAACATTACAATATTGTTATTCTTAAATGTTTTGAATATGTTATTTTAGAAATGTTAATTAAATGTTGTAATGATATCTTATTAATGTTTGAAGGAAATGTTTTTAAAATGTGAGCCATCTATTTCTAAGACCATACATTTTGATATCATTTAAACATTTAGTAGAAACATTTGAATGATAAAATCCCAAATGTTTTTAAAATATTAACCTAGAAATGTTAATTAAATGTTGTAATGATATCTTATTAATGTTTGGAGAAATGTTTTTAAAATGTGAGCCATCATTTCTAAGACCATACATTTTGATATCATTTAAACATTTAATAGAAACATTTGAATGATAAAATCCCAAAATGTTTTAAAAATATTAGCTTAAAAATGTTAATCAAATGTTGAAATGATATCTTATTAATGTTTGAAGGAAATGTTTTTAAAATGTGAGCCATCTATTTTTAAGACCATACATTTTGATATCATTTAAACATTTAATAGAAACATTTGAATGATGATATCCCAAAATGTTTATAAAATATTAACATAGAAATGTTAATTAAATGTTGTAATGATATCTTATTAATGTTTGGAGGAAATGTTTTTAAAATGTGAGCCATCATTTCTAAGACCATACATTTTGATATCATTTAAACATTTAATAGAAACATTTGAATGATGATATCCCCAAATGACTTAAAAATATTATCTTAGAAATGTTGATAAGACGTTGTAATGATATCTTACAGATGTTTGAATGAAATGTTATAAAAATGTAAGCCATCTATTTTTAAGACCATATTTTGATATAATTTAAACATTTAATAGAAACATTACAATGTTGTTTTGTGTAACGTTCTTTAAATGGTATTTTAGAAATGTTCATCAAATGTTGCAATGACATTGAACAATTACATTTTTATAACTTTTCTGCATTCATACATCTTCCAAATGCATACAATTGTGTTTCTAATATTACATAAAACAAAAAGTGAAAAAAGGATTATTTAAATGCTTTAGTTAAAATAACATCATCAAAATCTTTTAATCATGACAAAATGTTGAAAACAATTTGAGTAATGAACAAGAATCATTCAAACGTAAAGTAGGTGACCTTATATTCTAAGATACATATACAAGGGAGAATAAATGACGGAAGTAGGTAACCTTATATTCTAAGATACATATACAAGGGAAGATTAAATGACGGAAGTAGGTAACCTTATATTCTAAGATACATATACAAGGGAAGATTTACGGTTAACAATTATTTCTGTAATTAGTAGAAATAAGTACATGTAGATCCCAAATTGTTGGTTGATTTGTTGTCACAGAACAAGTAATGAAATCAAAGTGAAAGCACTTGTGTTCAGCATGCACCAAGGTAATGCCAATCATTTATAGTCCCATGTATTAGGGAAAACCGGGGAGAAATGGAACATTTTTCTTCACTTTAAAAATATTACCAACTGTAACTAAGCAAATATTTGGACGAAACCAAGTACATGTATGTTTGTATATTAAAAGACTATACAGTGTATCCCAAGAAAAAAAAACTGGATTTCATGGCAATTTTGTTTATGTCATGATAATAATTTCTGTAATGAGATGTACATGTGTGGAAAGCTCGGTTTCTTATTTGATGCATAATCTATTATTCATATTTCATGCATGGTTGAATTTAACAAATTGAAAGTAGTGGTATTAAAATTTCATTTGCACAAACAAATTGCAATTTTGAGTTAGTTTATAGGGTAGTAAAGATACTTATTTTGGAAAAAGAAACACATCACACACAAATTAATATTTTTCTCTTTTATATGACACTTCATGCATATAAAATGAAAAGATCCTTGATTTCTCCCAAATTAGTAGATTTTGATTAAGAAGCCATTCAGCTTTCTTAATCTAGCAGCTGACAATGAACCAAATGCTTGAGTGAATTTACCCATCACAATACAGTGTTTAAGTAGCCATGTTCAGGGGCTCTTTTAATGCTGTCTTGGGAAGGATGTGAACAGAAAGGTTTGTGTGAATTCACTTAAGCATTACATGTAGATCCAAAGTCAGCTGCTAAATCAGGAAAGCTAAAATGGCTTCTTACCCAATTGTAAGAAATCTAGCATATTTTCATTTTACTTCTTCTCAAGTGTACTTAATTGATTTTTAATGCAAAGGTGTCATGTACGAGAGAAAATAATGATTTTTTTTCAATGTAATGTCTCTTTTTTTCAAAAAAAATTTATATTTATTATCCTACTAACTCGAAGTTGCAATTGCTTTGTGTAAATTAAATTTTGGAACCCCCACTTTTTATTGGTTTAATGCAATCGTGCGTGAAATATGAATAATATGTTAAGCAATCAAATAAAAGTAGAGCTTTTCATAAATGTATATCTCATCGATGGAATTATTATTATGACAGAAAATTTCTGCCCTGAAATATGGTTTCCTTTTTTCTAGGATGCATAATAGATACATAGGTAAATATGGCAGTTATAGATTGAATTCTCACAGCTTGACTTTTCATGTAATCATAAATTTTGCAAACCCTTAGTTTGGGGGGTTAATTGAGCCACCTCAGGGTAAACTGGGAGACCCATATAAGCGTACACTCAGACACAAAAAAAGGATACCAATATTGCTCATTGCATTACTAATGTCTCAGTTTACCCCAGATATTAAAAACAACTGAAATTGATGGCCATCAAAAAATCTTGTATTAAATCATTTAATCACCTCAGAGGATAATCACTATCACAAGGGGTATCCCACTTGGTTGGGAGATTCCATGACATTTGTTCTGGCTACACTTGCTCTATGGAAAGTCTGCATATTAAGCCAATCATGGACCCTAAACCCAAACCTAACACTAACCTTAATCCTTATCCTCCTATTATTCTGAACCAAGAAACCTATCACAACCAGAACCATAACCCTATACCTTTGAAGAAAATAAGGCGAGCAATTGTCGCAGGAGCAAATGTCAGATCACCGTTCGGAACCGCAAAAACAATTTTGAATAAATGTTTAAAATCAGTAATAAAAGTAGTGAAAATAAGGCGCTTATCCTGTACTTGTGTGCAAAAGTTTACAGTGGTTTTTGGCATATTTTTAAATGGCATTTAGTGAAGCCTTTTGACTGATGTAAATGAATTTCACATTGTCTTCATATTTATTAAGATAATGGAGTGTCCCACTGAACTTCCAGTCTCCCCTACACATGTTATATTATTATTATCATGGGTTTTCAATTTACAGCAAGGTAACAAGAGGAACCGCTCTTAATGAGGTACCACTGAAAGCCTGATAACAAGGTGAAGATCTTGTAATAAGGTTACCCTGTAGGCCCTATAAACTATATAACAAGCATACATAATTTATGTACATGTATATGATTACAAACATAATATATCAAAAATGATTGCATATAAAGAGCCAAAGTACTACAGCTGCACCTCTAGCATCAGCATTACATTTTTCATCTACATGTATATACCATCTTAACAGTAAAAGGCCCATTGTTTCACGCAACATGCCTGCAACGCAGTAGACACACTGTGTTATGACTTTTTCTTTTGAGTCTTGCAAAAAAATTTTGTCCACACATGTGGTTTTGAAGTTGCGCACCTCAGACCAAACATTGCTCAAAAACATGGCTTCATGTACAATTCCAATACAAAAAAATTTCAGCCAAAATTCATAAATGTATATTATTCTTGCCTTTACTGATTAAAACCAATCGATTCCATGCTGTTTATGATCATAAATGTGTCATCAACAAATTCCATCTAAAAAAACAATAAAAACAAAAATTGTAAAACAAAGAAAATAGTAAGAAATAAAAAAAACAAACAATAAAACACATAAGAAAAACTTTTGATACCAAATTTTTAAAAGAACATTTGATCAGAGTCTTACAGAGAGTGTCTATACACAAAATTGGCAGTTTTGAAGCTTAGTTTGTTTGGAGGAAAGTTCAGAACTCGCATAAATCAGCATAATCAATTGATTATTGAATTAATGAAATTGACCACCGGTATACAGTTTTGAACATTAATTTGTGGGTGACGTGCATGCAGACTTTTGTGGCGAACGCATGGTTGACCATCGAGGTCTTATGGTGGAGATCCACCCCCCTTAGCTGTGAGATGGATTCATAAGACTCAGCTTTTTTAGGGTTGTCAGTTGAATACCAACAACTAATTCTTGTAACTATGGCTTTGATAATAGTAGATGTAACAATGGCATATAATGGATTATAACTTTAAAAATAAATGACAAATTATCAAAATGCATTCTGCAATATAATTTTTACTATTACATGTGTTATTATTACTATTATCATAACACTTGATGGCTAATAATAATAACAATAATAATAAAAATAATATGTTGCATTTAATGAACATATTTGCAAATTATGAAAGTAATCAAATGTTTTGTCTATCTTTTCCACAGCTTATCCACTTGACTGCTATTGGCTTAAAACGCGTTCATACCCCCTGTGCTACAGCATTTTTGTACTGTACAAAAACCTGACAAAAACTGTACACATCAAAAGCCATATTTTTTTGGAAGAGCGCCATCTACTGTTCAAGACCTCTATAACATCATAGCAGTGTTAATTACACAGCAGGGCTTTGGCATTATGCAGTGCTATGGTCTTGAAAGTGCACTGCCCTAAGCACGTACATGTACGTGGTACGCACAGGCATACAAGAGCGAGAACACATGTGGATAGCAGTCAAGTGGTTAATAACTACAAAACAGTAATTAATAAGTACATTTCTAATCTTACTAAGAATGGTTCAAGTTGAGCTAATTAAAAATACTATTCTAGCCAAGGGGGTAGGTGCAATAAAGTGTTAACCCCCAAGTGTGTCTTTTGATAATATTTTTTGGAAGTTTTGGAAAATGACATAAAGTTTTAAACAATTACCCCCCCCCCCCCCCCCCCCAAACAAAACAAAACACAACAAAAAATCAATGCTTTTTTTAGAGCAATATAGTGCTAACCAATAAGAAGCAGTGTAAAAAAGTGTTCTGCAATGTAAAGTAGTAACTAAAATTAAAATTTACTCTGAGTGAAATACACTGCCCTCTAAGAGTAATAAGAACTGGTTTTTCACACTCACCAACATTTTATTTATCATCGCACTTGTGGTACTGCACTAATTAAGTACCAAAGTGAAGAGTAAACATCAGCCTTGAAGTTAGCACCAGTGTAACCGTTTCAGGAAGCTTCATGCAAGACCAACTTAAACCCTATCCTTACTGTGGGAGGGGGGGGGGGTGTCAATTCCTCCTCCCCCCCCCCCCCCCCCCCCCTCTCCATAAAAAATATGCGATTGCCTTTGTTAATGCATGAGTGCTTCCTGAAACAGTTTATAATGGTTACACTAGGGGCATTTACACTGTCATCAAAACATGCCAAAAAATGCCAAACCAGAGCCTGACCGCGACGTTACCAAGGGCAACTACGCATTACCGGCAGAAATGCCAATTCCAAAACATTCCAAATCAAAGTGTGTTCTTTTGGCGTGTTTTGGTGTGTTTGGCAAGTATAAACGCTCGCAGTTGTAACATCGCGATGTTAGGTGACGTAACTTTAGGAGCGGAGCTAGATGTCGTCCTTAAAGAAAATGATAGAACGATATATACAAAGAATAACATAAGAGAAGGTGATAGAAGGAAGAAACAAATAATAACATAAGGAATAACATAAGAAAAGAGAGAAAGAGAAAGTGATAGAATGATAAAAACAAAGAATAACATAAGGAAACACAGAAAGAGGGAGTGACAGAATGATAAAAAACAAAGAATAACATAAGAGAAGGCGATAGAAGGAAGAAACAAAGAATAACATAAGGAAAGACAGAAGGAGAAAGTGATAGAATGATTAAAAAAACAAGGAATAACATGAGAGAAGGTGATAAAAGGAATAAATAAAAAAATAACATAAGGAAACACAGAAAGAGGGAGTGATAGAATGATAAAAAACAAAGAATAACATAAGAGAAGGTGATAGAAGGAAGAAACAAAGAATAAAATAAAGAAACACAGAAAGAGGAAGTGATAGAATGATAAAAAAAGCAAAGAATAACATAAGAGAATGTTATACAAAAATGAAGAAACAAGGAATAACATAAGGAAAGACAGAAAGAGAAAGTGATAAAAGGAAGAAACAAAGAATAACATAAGGAAAGACAGAAAGAAAAACTGATAGAATGATTAAAAAACAAAGAATAACATAAGAGAAGGTGATAAAAGGAATAAATAAAGAATAACATGAGGAAACACAGAAAGAGAAAGTGATAGAAGGAAGTGATAAAGAATAACATAAGAGAAGGCGATAGAAGGAAAAACAAAGAATAACAAGGGAAGATAGAAAGAGGAAAATGTTTGCATCGGAGTGCCGCGCATGCGCATTACCATCTGAAACACACCAAAACATCACTGAGCTTTTCAGTAGGTGATGTTTCCGCACAAGTGTAAACGGGTGCGCGAAACATCGCGACTTTTCAAAATGAGGTATTTGACAGTATAAATGCGCCTACTAGTGCCAACTCCAAGGCTGATGTTTACTCTTCACTTTGGTACCGGTACTTAATCATTGCATTGCCATAAGTGTAATGATAAATAAAACTTGGGTGAAATCAGATATGACTTATGGAGGGTAGCATATTATACATGGAAACCTGATTAACCTCTGTCTACCACTAAATACCTTTATGTTTAATCTAAACTGGAAATCATTTGAAAAAATAAACACCTCCGAAAAATTGAAATGAATACAGTGCTATCCTCCAATGACCAAAAATTATAATTTAAATTCATATTTGTGCATCTAACTCCCTTTTAGACAAAAATAATAAATTTACATACATGTTTCTTGAAAGTCAGATCCCTTGTGTTCTTTGCAGAATAAAATTCATTTTGTTGACAAATTATGCACTTTTCTTTACCAAACAATATCTGTCATGGGTGCCTCCAGAATGGAATGAATGGGTTAGCACATTTTTCATGCTGAACACAACACAAAAAGTAACTCCCCCTCAATCCAAATTGCGTAACTTTTTAACGACAAGGTATTTAATAAAATAATCTTGGCAGGAGTGTTCCTATACTTATTGACTAACTTTTCTGTGAAGATATGATTGATTCACCAAGTCATGCATGAGTGAGCAAACATTAAAGGGAAAATTGTCACTCTCACTTTTCTAAAGTCATACATGTAAGGGTCATTTAGGAGATTCTGTGAAACAAGATTTTAGCGAATTTAGTTTCGGGTGCATGTTTTTGTGTTGTTGTTTATCATACATTGCTTGACCACCTTACACCTATCCCAACACTTTTTTCAATATTATTGTTGGGTGAGCAAAATTAATAATTTTTTAACTAAAATGTTTCATTACAAGTTGTGTGAACTCAAGAGGTTGTAATCGTGTCATGCTTGGGTGAGCAAACTTTAAAAATAGTGTAAGAAAAGCTAAAATGTACTGTCAAAACAGCATAAAACATAACCACTGTGACTTTTGAAAAGTGAAAATTTTGCCTGTTTGTCCACTCATGCATTACTCAATGGAACAATTTTATTTCGAGAGAAAAGTTAGTCAATAAATATAGGAACAGTCCTGCCAATTTATTTTGCTCAAAACCTTTTCTTTAAAAAGCTACGCCATTTTGATTAAGGGGGAGTTACTTTTTTGTTGTGTTCAGATAATTGCTTGTTTTCAGGAGAAGAATATTTATTCATTTCCCTATTAATCAGTCGATTTCCTTTTTTTTTAATTGTCAGAAGATGAAGAACAATCTAGAAAGCTGATGGAAATGGATGTAACTCATTTTTCACAAAAGTGTGGATTAAAACTATATTGCACTCCCCCCCCCCCCTCAATTCCATGTCAAACTTTCTGTGGAATAAAAAAAAAACACACACAGAGGTAGCATATATCCAAAGTACTGATTCACTCCGAGTCCAAGTCCAAGTCTGGAAGTACTTATTTGCAGACTTCTGCCCATGTCTCTGAAACATGAAAACAAAGATGGAAAAAAGAAGGGAAAAAAAGAGTAATCACAATTTTTTTTGTCCAATTGAACACGTTTTAAACATTAAACATTCATTATACATGTAGACCTGTACATGTAGTTTATTTCATATGTTGGAACAGATGGGAAATTAGTCCCGCACTACATCACATTGACATTACCGCTTCAGCCAATTTGAAGTTCCCATACGTATAGTAGTACAATTTTCAACAATTCATAACTTTTTTATATTTCGTCAGTCTTAATTGAAACTTTCATCACTTTGCTTCTCTGGTTTTTCTGTTTTCATTTAGAGTAGTTGTCTATTTGGGTTTTATTTCCCTTTAAGTATTAACATCCTGTCTATATACATGTATGTAGGCCTACACATGTACATGTAGCCCCCTTTTCACACAGGGGTAAAATCCTTTGAAGCTGGTTAGTTCAAAGAGCTTTAAACTAATCAGCTTTAGATACAACATCATTCACACACAGAAAATTTCAGCGCGGACGTTCAAGATTCACACGCTCAGTAAGGACATTGGGCATCTGCTCATAAATGCGCAATATGGCCCTACTGAGCGTTTAAAGAGCAGTGCCCGGTCTAGTTAAAGACCTATATCTGTTTACACACAAAACGTCTTGCTCTCTAGATACGGGCTTCGTATCTGCAGCCTGCTTTGACCGTGGTATGAATCACGACTTCGTATCTGTCTAAACAATTTTCTTTAAAGCTGTTTAGTTACACAGCTTTAAGCCAATCAGTTCTAGTCTTCTAGACAAGATGATTTTACCCCTGTGTGAAAAGGCTGCAGGTCAGGTATCAGTTTGAGTAAAAGAAGCCACTTTTTAGTTGCTCCAAGGAGCTCCTAATTGATTGCTCTTACCGTTATATCACTACTTTCAATGAAAACCACCTTCTACACAGGGAACCCCCCTCCGGAATTAATCTGGCCCTATGTATTTACAAGGAATATATACATGTACTATCATTTAACACCTAGAGAGGAAGATGTAAGGAGTTAAAGGTAAAGACCAGTATTGGAAACACTCAATTTCAAAAAATGAAATGGAAGCTCTCATTACCAATCATATGAAAGAATATGTTTTGACTAATACATGATGATAAAAATTTGCCGGGAAACCACCTACTAATTCATATATTTGTTAAATTTGTTTCTCTCATGGTCTGTGAGAGATATAGGGTAGTCCCATATACATCTTTCTGTGTATAGTGCTTGTAACTTTACGAAGAATGGGCCAAATTTCTTATCATTTTGATGATTCCAGAACCTTGCAGATGCTATGCTAGATGATCAACCTTTTCTGATCGATTCCACAACGTTTCTTTCATAATGCAATCGCATGACCATAACTGGTCTTTACCTTTAAGCATGGACTGGACATCTAGTATTACTGTTTTGTTTTCATTCTGGCAAAATTTTAATGGTAAAGACCAGTTTTGGAAATGCCCCCCTCTCAAAAAAAGAAATCATACCAATCATGTGAAAGAATAAGTTTTGACTAATACGTAATACAAATTTTGCTGGGAAACTAATTGATAAATTTGGTAAATTATTATCTATCTGGACTGGAAAGAAATAGGATAGTCCCATATACATCTTTCTGCGTACAGTACTTGTAACTTAATACCAAGACTGGGCAAAATTTCTTATCATTTTGACGATCCCAGAGAATCTTGCAGTACACACCAATACTTATATTTTAGATGATCAACCTTTTCTGATTGATTCCACGTCTCTTTCACAATGCAATCACATGACCAGAACTTGTCTATACCTTTAACCCCGGACTATACATGTACTGTAGGTGGGGTTGAAGGGGGGTCTTAGCCCCACCTAGGCTATAGTCTGGTCTTAAGCTTATTCCACTTTCTGTTCAAACACATACACTATGAACATGACAGACAATGAAAGCGGACAAAATATACAGTTCCTCAGGTAGACAAAGGGACATCCCTTCACTGCTATTATGTAAAAATGTGTAGAACAGGTGAATAATGCATGTGACACCTGTTCTACACATTTTTACATAATAGCAGTGAAGGGATGTCCCTTTGTTTACCTGAGGAACTGTATATTTTGTCCGCTTTCATTGTCTGTCATGTTCAAAGTGATATTTACCAAAGTGGGTCAGCCCCACCTATAGTAGGCTTTCATCGAAAGGGTGCGGTGCGGTGCGGCGCGGTGTGGTGTGCTCAACGCACCCATTCGATAAAAGAGGGGGGCCTTTTCTCGAAAGGGTGCGTTGAGAGCGGAGTACCGTTTTAACACACCCTTTCGATGAAAGCGGGGGGGCTTTTCTCGAAAGGGTGCGTCGACTAGTCTTTCGCATCAGTCGTTTAAAATGAGGATCTCGGACAGAAGGTAATAGCTGCCAATTTAAGTATATCGAAAATGTATTAAATAAAATGGAATGGTCTTGATTACAGAGTGGTCTTTTTCGTTATTACTATGTTGATGGGGGAGACACAGAGAAGGAAAAAAGGGAAAGGGAAGATAAAAGGAAAGAAAGAAGAATAAGAAGAAGAAAAGAGGTAAACGGGGGCAAAGGGCTTTTGCCTCTCTCCCCCCCCCCCCCCCCGCCAACAAATAAATAGGAGAGAGAGAGAAGGGAAAGGGAAAGGGAAAGAGAAGATAAAAGGAAAGAAAGAAGAGGAAGAAGAAGAAAAGAGGGAAACGGGGGCAAAGGGCTTTTGCCTCCTCCCCCCCCCCCCCCCACCAACAAATAAATAGTAGAGAGAGAGAGAGATATAGAGAGAGAAGGGAAAGGGAAAGGGAAAGAAAATATAAAAGGAAAGAAAGAAGAAGAAGAAGGAAAGAGGGAAACGGGGGAAGGGCGAAAGGGAGAGAGAGAGAGAGAAAGAGAGAGAGAAGGAAAAGGGAAAGGGAAAGAAAATATAAAAGGAAAGAAAGAAGAACAAGAAGGAAAGAGGGAAATGGGGGAAGGGCAAAAGGCTCTTGCCTCCTCCCTCCCCCCCCCCCCCCCCCGCCAAAAAAAATAAATAAGAGAGAGAGAGAGAGAGAGAGATGGGAAAGGGAAAGAGAAGATAAAAGGAAAGAAAGAAGAGGAAAAAGAAAAAAGAGGGACACGGGGGCGAAGGGCTCTTGCCCTCCCCCACCCCCCCCCCACCAAAACAAATAAATAAGAGAGAGAGAGAGAAGGGAAAGGGAAAGGGAAAGAGAATATAAAAGGAAAGAAAGAAGAATAAGAAGAAAAGAGGTAAACGGGGGCGAAGGGCTCTTGCCTCCTCCCTCCCCCCCCCCCCCGCCAACAAATAAATAGGAGAGAGAGAGAGAGAGAGAGAAGGGAAAGGCTAAAGAAAATATAAAAGGAAAGAAAGAAGAAGAAGGAAAGATGAATACGGGGGAAGGGCGAAAGGTTCTTACCTCCCCCCCCCCCCCTTCCCGCCAAAAAAATTAATAAGAGAGAGAGAGAGAAGGGAGAGGGAAAGAAAATCTAAAAGGAAAGAAAGAAGAGGAAAAAGAATAAGAAAAGAGGGAAAGGGGGCGAAGGGCTCTTGCCAACAAAATAAATAAGAGAGAGAGAGAAGGGAAAGGGAATGAGAAGATAAAAGGAAAGAAAGAAGAGGAAAAAGAATAAGAAAAGAGGGAAAGGGGGCGAAGGGCTCTTGCCCTCCCCCCCCCCCCGCCAAAAATAAATAAGAGAGAGAGAAGGGAGAGGGAAAGAAATATAAGAGGAAAGAAAGAAGAGGAATAAGAAGGAAAGAGGGAAACGGGGGAAGGGCGAAGAGCTGTTGCCCCCCCCCCCCCCCCCGCCAACAAAATAAATAAGAGAGAGAGAGAGTGAAGGGAAAGGGAAAGAAAATATAAAAGGAAACAAAGAAGAGGAAAAAGAATAAGAAAAGAGGGAAACAGGGGCGAAGGGCTCTTGCCTCCTCCCTCCCCCCCCCCCCCGCCAAAAAATAAATAAGAGAGAGAGAGAGAATCTGTTCTGATCCTGGTCCTGATCCTCAAGAGGGATATAAAGATGACCAATAAGAACGTTATCGTTCGAGAGAGAGTGTTTGTTGCTTCTAGAACATTTTAGAATTAAGTCCCATCACATTGCAGTTGTGGGGAGGGACTATGATTATATTACCCCCTTGGATGGCTTCCCAGAGTCTGGCTTTGAAGGTTTCGACTGCGTCGCAGGCAAAGATGCTGGGGGGGGGGGGGGGAAGTAAATTCCAGGCCCGTATGGTTCTTGGAAAGAAGGTGAGTCGATATATATCCGTCTTGCATCTTATGTTGGAGAAGGAGAGGGAAAGAGAAGATAAAAGGAAAGAAAGAAGAGGAAGAGGAAGAAGAATTTGTGTTCTGCCAGTGTCACAAATAGATATAAAAATATGCTCATCTGACCGTTATTTATTGCCCAAAACCCCTGAGCTTCCGGGTGCTCCACCCCCTGGACCCCACGCCAATTCGTGACCCCTGTGTCACAAATAAGGTATAAAATAATAATTATTTAATGGACAAAACTCCTGAGCTTCTGGGGGCTCCGCCCCCTGGACCCAACACCAAATTGTGTCCTGCCACTGTCACAAATAAGGTATAAAATTATGCTCATCCGACGTTAATTTTGATGTTTAATACCCCTGAGCTTCTGAGGGCTCCGCCCTGTGAAAAAAACGTGTAAAAAAAACACGTTAATTTTTACCGTTTTTGGGAGATACCCCCCCCCTGGCTTTCAAGGGGGGGGGGGGGGTACGATTTTTCAAATTTTTGAGGGCCCCAAAAAAGATTAGTGCTCTCTAGTAATTTCGCGACTACTCCGGAACCGCGGCAGATATAAAGTTTTTCTTTCATGACTTTTTTCTTTCGAGTCTTACGCATCTTTTGAAACATTTTTTTGTTGAAAATCGGACGTATAATTGCGGAGTCACGTGACCTTTTGTTTTTGCATGTCAGCCCTAAGATCGCTCATTTTTGTGATTTAAGTACCAAACATATGGAAATACCATTTATTCTTTTAAAA